ATCTCAGGGTCTCGAGCGGAAGAGCAGCGTTGCACGTCGAAGCTCGTTGCCTTCTATATCTTGTCGACCGAACGCTATGGTAACAGAAGTCTCGTCAGAGAGGCCCATCCGCGTCATTGTGCAAGCTGGAACTTTGGACCGCCTAGTCAATGTCCTCGTGCATGGCCTTCAGGGTGTTTCAGTAGCTGTGGCTGATGATAATGGTGAGACGTCTTTGAGGGACGGCAAAACCAGGGACCTTGTCGTTGATCGGGCTGAGTTTGCGCGAGTATGGTGGCATGTGTTCCGGAGTTTTGTGACGCCTATCGTCTTTTTTGAGGTATGGTAGTCTCTTTTCTGCGTTTGATATGGCCTGATTAATACATTCTATAGCTACTTCGTAAACGCTTCTTAAGCAGTCGACCCTCCAGCCAGCCTTCCGCAAACAGTTATCTCCACGTAATACAATTTCGTTCGGAAGTGCTCGAGGCAATCAAGGACTGGATAACGTCTGGAGGAGGAGCCCAGGACTGTCTCGATGATGTTCAGCTGTTTGAAGCTGTGCGATCTTTCCTGGACAATCCATTCGATCGCTCTTCCTTCGATGCTCCCACTACGATTGAGAATGACGTCAGCCAAGCTTGGGACACTCTTGACAACGCTCGTCAAATAACACACACGGCGTTCACAACACAGACTCAACGCCCTCCTTCCGTCTTCTTAGGTGATACCCGACCGCTAAAATCGACACTTCGGGTACGATCCTTTGGTAATCAACCACCGGACCTTGATGCGATCAGTGCTGATGAGCTCGTCGAGAATTTGAACGCTATGGGTTCTGCGGCGTTGAGTAATATAAGCGAGGAGGTCAGTCCTCCCCTCACTAACTTCCAATATGATTGCTCATTTTCCTTTCAGGACCTTTTCATCACCGCTGATCTGTTAGAGGTACAAAGCGCAGACCGTACCGGCTGGTTTTCAACTCGGGAAGTTCCGTCGACAGATGACATTGATATACAGTCCATGTATTCCCACCTGACGGACGTTCAGCCATCTTCGCTGATATCCGAGCTTTCTCAAGATACTATCTACCGTCTCCTACCGCCTAGCATCCGCAGTTGTATCCGTGCCTTTAATATCCTTCGGAAATGGACGATTTCGAAGCTCGTCACCCCGAAACTGGGGATCCGACTACGGCAGGCGAGAATGGACCTCTTCCTTCGAGCCATCGAGATTGCCCGCCTAAGGAGCATGAACGCTGGTTTTGCGTCCTTTGGATGTGGGGACCGGTCTTGTGTCCGGTCTTTCGTCGAGGCTGTCCTAACCTCGGCTGTTGTTAGTTCAGAGAGCCGTATGCACCATCGTCCATGGCAAAATATTGCGAATATTCGGGGAGTCCAGTGCGATAGTCTCGTAGGGCTTCTCTCAAGACCGGCTTTGCCCAAAAAGTCGTATGGAGATGTTCTCGCTGTTGATGTCAGCTGGATTCTGGAACGTATACTGGAGCTGGTGAGCATACCGAATGTGGTCATGACGTCGGGCGAGAACGATCAGTGCATCATAAACTTAGATAAGCGCAGGTAAGGTAAATTATGGCTATGAGATACGGTCTGCTGACAGGTTTTCAAGGCACCTTTGCAACCTCATTCTGACTACCCCGTCGCTCTCGAAGAGGAGCCGTCCCCGCGAGGACGTCGACCGGAAAGACTTTGAACGGTTGAATAACATCGAGAGGGAGATGAACTTGATTTCACTCGACCACCGAAGTATCAGAGACGAGGCCCAGCGGGAAGCCCTACAAGCTCTAGGCAATGGTTCGGCATCTGTCAAGAAGACCGTGCGCCCATTCCAGAAGCTAGTTGCAGCGCAGCAAGAGAAGTGCAAGCGAGACAAGTATCTCAATGACCGGCTCAGCAAAGATAAAAAGCAGGAACAATTGCGCAATGAGCGGAGAGATGATCAAATTAATAAGGCGATGCGGTCTCGAAAGCCGATGACCCAGGTTCAGAAGCAACACCGGATGAAGAAAAGCTACTCCTCAGCGTTCTTCCAACTGATGAGGCCTATCTCTAGTGCATTTACTGATAGCATGCACGCTACTGCATTGAAGCGATCGCCCGCTGAATTGGACTTCTCGCCCTCTGGTAAACCTTCTTTGGTTCTTTCGGTCGTTGACGCTCGAGTTGCCCAATTTATCAATAACGAGAGATCGTTCACATTCCAGCTGGACACCGAAGACGGCGGTCATTATTTGCTGCAGGCTATTTCTAAACAAGAGATGGTACGATGGATTGAGCAAATCAATCGTGTTGCGAAACTTGCTGCTAAACGCCGCTTGACGTATCTTGGAAATTCACCAAAGCCGCAACTCGCAGACCATATCCATGACCATCCATCAGCTACTACAGCTTCGCGGGATCCCAGAGCTGGTAAGGTATTCCATGTTCTCCATGTCCCTGTCTCTCATACGTTTCTAGTCTTTGGAGTCGAACTAGCGTTCCTCGTCGAGCGTGAAGCTAATGGAGCGCACCCCGAGATTGGCTCGATCCCGTCAGTTATTCTGACTTGCTTGTCTGAAGTCGAGTTCCGTGGCCTTAGTGAAGTTGGCATCTGTATGTTCTGGCGTTGCTTTCTCCTGTAGAGGTCTGACTTTTCTTGTACAGATCGTGTCGCTGGTGCTACTTCTGAAGTTAATGCTCTCCGCGACGCCTTCAACAGAGGTATGGTTTCTATCTGAAATGGCCTGCAGGTAATTAACTGATGATTCGCTAGGCGAGTGGCCTATCACCTCTGATAATGATATCCATGCCGTGTGCGACTTGGTCAAGTCATGGTTCAGGTTACTCCCTGAGCCTGTCTTCCCATCGTCGTCCTATTTCAACGTTATTGAGGCAATGAGTAAAATCTATCCCATTGATAGTCTTTTTCAATGTTGATGTTCTTGCAGAGCTCGAGAATCTTAATGCGCGGCTTGCATGTATTCGGAGTGTTGTGCAAGGGCTTCCTCAGGCAAACTTTGATCTTTTGAAGAGGATCGCCGAACATCTCGATAGGTGAGGTTTTCTGCTTGTTTCTTTCGTCAGCTGCATGATATTGATGTTACTACTGCAGAGTAACCGACTATGAGGAACACAACCAAATGACAGCTGAAGCCCTTGCGATAGTTTTCAGCCCCAACCTCCTTCGTGCACCACAGAATGACTTTGCCCTGATCTTGTCGAACATGGGACATACCCACAAACTTGTGAAAGCCCTGATCACTCATGTACGTGACGTGACACCACTCATCGTTCCTTCACTGATGCTCGCTGCAGTTCCATGTAATCTTTGACGACGAGCTTGAAGCCGACCATGACGTAGAAGAGGATGAAATGGAGGAGCCTATCCTCGAGGAGGACGAAGAAGAGGAGATAGACTCTCCAGCTGCGGGCGACGAGTCATAAACCATGGACGCTCATGTATACCGTCACACCTAACCCCTTCATCTACAACGGACTCATTGTTATCCATCATAATCCTTTTGCATTCCGTTCCCTGGGTCACCTACGACCGTTCGCGGATATCTATCATGGACATTGTACAGTACCACACTCCCACAGTATTCTCCCTGCTCATCCTGACGCTCTTTTTGGCTTCATCCATTTTTTTTATTTCCATTACTGGTGACGTTTCTGGTCTGCGTAAAATTACTGTAAAGCAGTCTAGATGCTTTCGTAGCACTGTCCTAATCTTCATCCCAGTCACTTGCTTGTTGAGGGATAATGCTGAATGTCGATTGATCCCATCCTCGAACTGAGTTTGATAGTAGTGGTGCAATGGCATGAAGTCCGAGACACGAATACGCGACGACGTTGGACTTTTGCACCTTTTCGTTGAGGACCTGGATGGTGGAGTTATCTGTCGGGAGTGCATCCAGGACACGCTGGAGGTGGTGGGTGATAAAGGCCATTGGAAGAGAGCGCCAGTCTTGGTGGAAAAGTGAAGTTGGAGGTTGGGGAATCAGAGGATGTGGTTACCGCGTAGAAAGGGTTGACGACGTTGATAGTGCGTAAGTTGCCTTCGGTCGGTGCGGAAGAATTAGAATTGAGAGTGATTGGCATCAGGCGTGCCATTCAGTACAGACTAGCATGATTGGACTATGAACGCTCGAGATTCGAATGTGGCCCGCTAAGCGCTTGTGGCCCCGGCTGCGTAGAAACTTGACGACCTTGATGGTGCGTACACAATCGCGTTCGGTGGGTGCGATGAGGATAATTAGGTCCAACGCGCATCTAGTATGCAAAGTGCATCAAAATAACACTTCACATCAACGAGACGAGAACTTATATAGGACATCCTGCCAGTGATTTATCGAATGAGGGACACAGCAGAAAGTGCGGGATTTGGCCAGTCTGCGTGAGGTCTATACAGACAAGTCACAGACTCTGTCTTAAAGTCTGGGGGTCTGCCAGCAGTTGTCCGGAAAGTGCCGGGAAGTCTATGTTTGTCTGCCCGCTGTATTATGTCATAATTTAGTGTCAGTCCCCCGCCATCTCGCCATCAGCCTCTCCCGCCATTTCACGTTGCCCGCCGTGCCTACAGACAACATATCATCGACTACAGTTCTACAGCCGCCAAGTATTCCAGGTGCCATCCTGCGGAATGTCATCAATCGGACTCGTCGTTGATTGCACCTACTGAAGTGTGACACAGGGGTGGCTGAAGTGCTGACGGGGTGGTTGATGTAGATGGCAGGGGTGGCTAGCCACTGACGGGGGTAGCTGATGGGATTAGTGTCACAGTGGCTGGCGTAGTGGCGGGAGTGATGATGTCAGACAACCCGGAGCTTGCCGACAAAACACACTCAGACGTGTCCCCCAGACTTTGAGGCGGAGTCTGCGCAGACTTAACACAGACCGGCCATTTCCTACATGCCCTCGGACACAGACAACTCTAGACCGTGGGAACATCGAAAAAGTGTGATTGGATGTAGGTTTTTCCTCCGAGTGTTTCGTTATCTGTCCGATTAACATATTCCCAGAATGAAGATTCAAGGTTTGAATAAGTTTTTGGGAGATTTGGTCGAGCCTTATGTGCCATCTACAGGAGTGATACAGCTGCTAGTAGGTGCCTCACACCTGTATGACCCATCCATTGTCGCACGAGGTCATACTCTAATCATTTGGTCTCAAGTCTGCAGATAATCACTCAGGAACCGGTCCTCGAAATACTATGGACTGGGAGATGTTGAATGATCAAGCAGAAAACCTCATGAGCAACTACGAACAGACACATCGAGGTGAAGACATAGAAGAGGCCATCCGAATCCTTTCAGCGTGGTACAGTGGCTTGCCCTCTGGCAGTCAAAATCACGCTGCTTGCGCCAACAGCCTCGGTTTCGCATTCTATATGCGTCTCCAGCATTTGAATAGTATTGCCGACCTTGAACAAGTTGTACATTACTGGAGTATAGTTTTAGAATCATCGACTTCTGGATCACCACATTACGTCCCTGTGGTGGTTAACTTGGGAGGAATGCTTCGTAGGAGATTTGAGTGTCATGGAAAATTCGAGGATATCGAACAAGCCATTATGATGTATAGCGTCGCCACCTCCAGCTGTCCTCCAGATAGCCCATATCGTCACAACCTCCTCAACAATTATGCTCTCGCAGTTTTTAGTCGGTTTGAGCAGACCGGAGACCCACAAGACCTGGATCTCTCGATTCAAACCCACCAAGAATGTCTGTCGCTGCGACCACCTGGCCACTCAAGCCATTGTTTGACTCTGTCGAACCTTGCCTTTGCAATCTGTGCTCGCTATCTTCATAGAGGAAACATGGATGATTTCACCAGTGCAATGGCCTACCACAGCAGAGCGTTGGAACTTTGTTCGCCCTCAAGTCCATCTTACCCAACAATTCTCATGACCATGGGACTCTTGTTGCGTTATTCATTCCAGTGCAATGGGGACTTGCAGAACTTGAATACAGCAATAAATTTTTATAGCGTTGCACTGACAACTTGTCCTGACAATGATCCGACACGATTATCCCTCCTCACCAACTATGCGGGCGATGTCAATGTCAGATTTACGCAGAATGGAGATATCAATGACCTCAAATATTCAATCGAGCTCTATACCAACTCCTTAGCCAATCAGTCCTCCACACATGCACATCGCTTCTCCACCCTCCGTGGTCTCGCGATCGCTCTAATGAGTCGCTTCAAGGTTTACGGCGTTCCTGAGGATCTTGATCTCGCTATAACACACATAGCATCTTCCATGGCTTTGTGCATACCCTCGCACCCAGAACATATGCCTGTACTTATGGTCTGGATCAATTGCCTTATCCTGCGCTACAAAACGCGTGGGGATATCGCTGATCTCGATGATGCTGTCAAGCACTCTGAGGCAGCCGTATGTGTCTGCCCAAGGAAGAGTGCTAACTACTTTCCCCTGTTGACTCGTGTTAACAATGTTTTGTCTACACGGTTTTCTCGGCGACGGGACGTTCGAGATCTGACGAAGATAATTGACTACTGCGACTTAGCGCTCAGAGATGTCCCAGGTCGCCACATCTTCAATCAGGTCCTCGTGCAGATGCTCTCCTACAGCGATATTTCCATGAAGGGGGCATGAACACCCTGGAGCACATCATTTCATTTTATCGGGACATAATGCAAGATTTATCTAGAGGTCATCAAGCCTTTCCCCGTGTTCTGTTTCGACTAGCATCTGCACTCCAAGCTCGCTTTGAGCAAGGAGGGAACGCAGATGATCTTAATTGCGCAGTCAATCACTATCGCACGGCATGCGAGATGTGCCCTCCTGGTCAGGATGACCACTGTGTTACCTTCTCGGGTCTCGGAAATGCTCTCATGCTGCGATATCAAGTCTTCGGCCCCCTGGATGATCTCGATGAATGCTTAGTTCACCTAGCTCACGTTGTTGAAACCCATGCTTTGGCTACCTACCATCCAGACTATCCCAATGGTACCGTTGCCCAGACGTATCAGGTTGTTTTTGGAATTTTCAATTTTAGTGTGAGATACTTTTACGCCGTTTTACCGTCACGTGACGTCCGGATTCAGCCGGATTTCTGGAACCCCTCTGCTTTTGGGCAGGCAAGTCTTTGTGTGCTGCTTTTGCATTCTTTCTCATTGCCGGCCAATGCAATCTATGTTTCGAGTTCCTTTTGATGAACAATTTGCCAAACAAATCAAATTATCTTGTTGAGTCCCACCAGCTGCATGTGAATCCACGACAAACAAACAAATCTATGAGGAGGACAGTGCTAGTGCTAAGAGACAGAACTTCGAAGCTAGTTTGTGTGTGTGTGTGTGGGGGGGTGGTGAAATGTCTGTGAGTCTTGGATGGTTGTGCTATGGATCAGTGTGTGTGTGCGTGGATGGACGAGGCTTCCTCTATCAACTTGGGAAGACTGAATGCAGGTTGTGATTGTTAGTGCTGCTGTGGTCTGGTTCGGTCCGGTTCACAGAGGGTCGAGCGAGAACCAAGAACTGGACCTAGGTCTGGTTCTACCAGACTCGACGAACCTCGAACTGGACCTTGGCAAATGGTTCAGAATGGTCAGGTCTGGTCATTTTCAGGTTTGAATGTGAACCGATGAAGGTACAACAATTCAGATGGTGAGTCTGAACAATGTTGGGTCTTGCAGAACCTAGCTGCTATTCGACCCTAAAGGGTTTCTGGACTAGGCTTAAGGCTCAGAGGAGAGGAAATATCATAGAAACTTGCTCAGCACTCAGACTCATACTGGTAACTGGTGAAAAGATTGATTGCTTATGTAAGCTACAAAGTGCCAACATAAGGTAAGGTAAAAACAGTCTCTACCAGCCCAGCCAGAAATGAATCCCTACACCGAACCAAATTTATTTACAATGAGCAAAAAAAAACATAGGTAGGACTTGTTGTGGTGCCGCAGTCGATGGTCTCAATATCAAGAAGTAGGAGGGCATGAAAGATGGGGCATGGCATGAGAGAACAGGTGGGAGAGAGTTAGCACGAGAGAACAGGCACAAGAGGACAGGTACAAGAGAGCAAGCATGAGAAAATGGGTGCAAGATAATTGAAGATGAAGAAGTTACTCACCTAACACCTCAAACTCAGTGGTTTTGGTTGCCTTTGTCTTTGTTGGCACATTGATTTTAGGGGTGGAGGCAGTGGTTTCGTGAGAGTGGGACAATGGGCTTGCAGGAGGAGTTGCAAAATGAGATGTGTGGTCTGATTCGTCAGTTTGAACAGTGCATATCATGACTTACCTTGTCAATGGGCCTCTGCATTTGATGGAAACAAGTAAATCTTGAAGCTTGAGAATCCCTGAGGCCAAAGTGGATCATCAAAGGAAGTGTCAAAGCACACTTCAACAAGCTTCTTTCGGTTCACGGTTCAGAACAGTTTGGGACCGGTCCGAACCAAAGTTGAACCGTTCGCCCAATGCCAGAACCGAGAGCCATATTATGGTCTGGTTCTGGCTGACACCTGGACCGTGGACCAAATCACAGGAGAACTGGACCAAAAGTCCGGTTTGAACCATGGTTCAGGACTGGACCACAGCAGCACTAGTGATTGTCAGCACGAGGCAGATGCTACAGGAAAGATGCATACTAGTAGTATGGACAGAGGACAACTTGACAAGCACTGCAAATTTGGTGAGAAGTGAATACAGCACTATAGAGCCTGTACGCATGTAGGCAGACACTCATATGTTGATCATTAACTAAAATCCAAAGTTGTTTAGAATTTGTTACAGTGTCACAGGGCTGTCACAACCATACATGCATCAATTTCACCTGGCCCAAGAGCTGACACACTTAAACACCTATCTCTACTTGTAGGTTTCTTAGACAGGGTCACACAGCTGAGACGAGAGCTAGAACAAATATGTAATCTCAGCATCCGGGAGGAAGACTCCAGGTGCTATAAGTACCTAGAACAAATATGTACTAAGTCTTTGTTAGTAGCTGGTACGTTATACGAAGGTAATAGCACTTACATCTCAGTATCTGGGAGGAAGACTGAGATGCCTAATTCTACGAGAGACTGTTTTTATGTGCAGGTAGAGCACGAATGAATGAAAATTAATCTGAGACCTTTTGATATGATGTTCGGCCGATGATGAGCAAATGTCTGAGAAACGATGCACTTGCACCTAATCCAATGTGTCCGACATGCCTCTCAACACTACTCTCGTGCTGTCCATCTCACTTTATGATCATCCTTGGGAGCTGAAAAAAACATGCTGTCGAAGGCCTGTTTGCAGTACAGTACAGCAGGAAAGACTTACAACAGTCTTTATCTTGGTTTCACCTGCTAGGATTTGTTGAATGGCTTGTTGTCATCCGAATTGTCTGAGTTGAAGAAGACCAAGAGAGCCAATGGCAAGACATGAGATGTCAAATAGAGAGTGCGAGCACAAGGGGAGAAGGGGCAGGCACAAGGGAGAGCTGACATCGGGCCCAAAGCTGCACATGTATCAAGTTTCATTCTAATATAGCGAGAAAAACACTCACAGTATAAAGTCTAGTGCCCACACAGACGAGCGTCTCAGTTCTGTTTCCAGAGACTGAGACATGAGTACCTATACCATACCTTATCGTAAACATATGCTGACACGACATAGTCTTACCTATCAGGTACATGTTTCATTAATAAAGAGTTCTGTTTCCAGAGACTGAGACTCTTACCTATCAGACTCCTCGTGACCCTCTCGCTCGTTATAAATGCCTTTATGGCATGTATAATATCTGTCCTCAAAGTTCTTGTCTTCACTATTATTGACCTGCATCCTTGGAACGACAGATGACTTAATAGTAGATCTAGAATAATAAACTAATGTTTGGTTAGAAAGAATGCAAAGCGGCATGCAAAGACTTGCCTGCCCAAAAGCAGAAGGGTTCCAGAAATCCGGCTGAATCCGGACGTCACGTGACGGTAAAACGGCGTAAAAGTATCTCACACTAAAATTGAAAATTCCAAAAACAACCTGATACGTCTGGGCAACGGTAAATGGTCTTGCCAATTTTGCAAATGCCATCTTCGCCCGCTTTCAAAACCAACATGATATTACTGATCTGGACATCGCTGTGAATTGCCTGCAGGCGGCTCGGGATCATCCCAACCAATCAGAGGGACGGCACATTTTGATTTCCCTTGCCACTGTACTTTCTGCTCGTTACAATGAACACGAAGACATCAATGATTTGCAAGAAAGTATCAAGGTGTTTGAAACAGCGCTTCCCATGTTTGCCTCCAATCACCCCCATGCCATTCACCTCCACCAAAACCTTGCTCGCTCTTTGCAGATGATGTATATAAAACAACAGACGATCGAAGATTTGAATGCTGCGATTGCCCATTTTGAGACATGTTTGACGATTTCGCCAGAAGGTCACCCCGACCTGCCGCTTGCGCTGATTTTCCTAGCAAGCTGTAGGCATATGCGGGCAAAAGCGGGCAAAGATGATGACGGCTTTCGGAATGCTCTCTTACTTCTTTCCAAGGCCAGTGAGAAGATGCCTGAAGCGCACCCATGGTTTTTCTCCATTTACCATCTGTACACGACCATTTTCGAAGATTACTACAGCCTAACCAAGGACGCTTCGTTTCTGGAGAAGGCATTTCAGTATCACCAGCTGGCCTGTAGCGCTCCTGGAATCCACACATGGGATCAACTTACTGCAGCTTTGTGTTGGAGAACGGACGCCAACAAATTTCACCATACCTCGGCTCTGGAAGCATACAAAACTTCTCTAAAGTTGCTTGATCGCCATGTTATAGCCACTCCTACGGTTTTTGGGCGTTGTAAAGCTTTGCTCGAAGGTATATTGCGTGATACGCCCTCACTCGCTGCAGATGCTACCGCCTGTGCGATCAGCGCAGGCAATCTCGAGCTAGCAGTCGAACTCTCAGAACAAGGCAGAGGCCTTCTTTGGTCCCAGATGTCTCGCTTTCGAGTAACCATTAATGATTTGCGAGTCGTTGATGACGAAGGGCGTCGACTTGTAGATGAATTCGAGTTGCTCAGTACTGAGCTTGGGAGAAGGCAGTCTGACTCCCCAGCTATCAGGCCTGCCACTGCAACACTCAGACGAACACAGCAGGAGGAAGAGGCACGTCAGTATCGTCAGACTTCTTCGCAATGGGACGCTGTAGTGAGCAAAATACGGCAAAAACAAGGATTTGCGTATTTTTTGACCCCGATGCCCTTCAAAGAGCTAAGGGCGGCTGCGGTTGCCGGCCCCATCGTCATCATCAATGCAAGCATAAAGCGATGCGATGCGATCATCATTACCAAAGACGGGCCTCCTCGACTCATTCCACTCCCTGATGCTTCGCTAGGGGGCATTGCTGCCCTGTCTGGTGACTTCCGCAATGTCCTGCGGAATACTGCAGGAGTTGGAGAAGAGAAAATGAGAGAAAAGCAACTTATACCTGTCTTTCGCAGGCTTTGGGATGCTGTGTTGGCTCCTGTTGTTGAGGTACTTTTGACCATCGTGTCGAAAGGGTCTCGTGTTTGGTGGTGCCCAACTTCGAAACTCACTTCGCTGCCCATTCATGCTGCCGGACCATACCGCAAGGGAGCCAGCAACATGCCTAACATTTACATTTCGTCATATACACCAACTCTTTCTGCTTTGATACGCTCAAGGCGGCAGAATGCATCTAAGGTAGCGTCGAATACTCCGTCCTTCGTTTCCATAGGTCAATCAAAACCGAATTCCGGGAGTAGAGAAAAGGAGTTAAAGGCCGTAGGAGCAGAGCTGGAGCTTGTCAAATCCCTTGTACCAGCATCGATGACATGCTCAGAGGTCTCCGGGGATGAAGGAACCGTCAGCGGGGCAATTCAAGCCTTGAAAACTAATTCATGGGTCCACCTCGCATGCCACGGCAAGCAAGATTTTCTTCAGCCATTCGATTCGTCCTTTGCTCTCCGCGACAAGCCATTGCGGCTTTCAGACATCATACAAGCCGAACCAGAAAACCCGGAGTTTGCTTTCCTGTCTGCTTGTCATACCGCGGTTGGAGACAAGAAAGCACCTGATGAGGTCATCCATCTCGCTGCAGGGATGCAATTTTCTGGTTTCAGAGGTGTCATCGGTACAATGTGGGCGGTGGATGACAATACTGCTCGCCATATGGTGAAAGAATTCTATGAGGCAATGTTTAGCGGTAAAGTCGATTGCACGAACGCAGCTAGGGCTCTGAATAAGGCTTCCAAAGCCGTTGACAAGGATAAAGTACCGATGGACCAGAGAGTCGTATTCATTCACATTGGAGCATAGCCTTCAACCGTGCAGTAGCATTAGCACTTCTGTATCTTATATATTTTTGTGGTTCTGGCACATACGGATTCGTAGTGATCGAGAGAACCGATGAGTCCTTGACATGGTGTCATGGAGTCTATCAGGGTGCGTGATCATGACACTGCTCTTCAAGACCTAGACGATACAGCTTCAACTCCGTCCGCAGTAGTACGAATCTGTTATCTGCGATGGTGAGGTGAGGTGTCGAATGAAAGCCGAGAACGGTCAAGATACTCCAATTGAGGCAAATTACTGTGCGACTTCTGTACAAAAGCCGCCACGAAGTATTACAGAGAACTGCTCCTTGCCGTCCTCGATGACGATGAGTAGAGAAGACGCTGCACGTGATCCCCTATCCGATTTCGTTGTTTCATGCTATTTGTACCTCAGTGGTTCTTGTTCTTTACTATAGTTCCAATGCCTCGACACCAGCTCCTTCTTTCGAATGATCTTCAATGACACGTACACCTACTTCAATGTCGACTGAAGACACTAATTTTCTTTTACTTTTACTGATGTAAAATTTACACAAGTTGAATGGCACGAGGCCTGAGCCCGAGGTCTTCTATCAACGTTACAGTAACTTATTGAGGACTCTCGAGGCGTCAGGAAATTTTGTATAAAAGTGAGCACATCTATCAGCTCCGCAACGAACTGTATATCGTGCGATCAAGCACTGTGCCAATGCAAAAGAGATAAGACTCACTATTGTGACATGCTCAGTTTGCCAAGCTCATCTGGACTTTTCAAAGTTCCCTGCAGTACGTGGAAGAACTACCGGACTCCTGTTGGTACAAGGCGTAAAGGTGAGTCGTGGGGTTGAATTTTGGATGCAAAGCACTCATACTCACAATAGGCCCACAGTAAAGGTCACCGCAGCACGTGTCGTCTGTCGGGCTGGTCGTGCCGCAAGCCTGGCCTAAACTCGCACACTGTGCGGTGACAGACATAGATCTTGTCAAAGCTGCAACGACTGCAACGACTTGGAGGAATGAGAAATGCATGGCTCGTGCTAGGCTATATGGGGATGAACAGTGGCTCTGATTCTGCTAGTGGCCTTGCTCTTATATCCCATAAGGAAAAATGTGTTTGGAAGACGGTAAGGTTTGGCACTCGTATCAGAATGGTTGCACTTTCTAGCGGATTTGACTTGAGGGTGAGAGTATAGGCAGAACCGAAGGTTAGCGGATAAATAATCCAGAGCATGCGGATGAAGAACCACTGACAATGCAAGTGTCGTCCAGATGTGTGTTGGCGATAGGATACCTACGTGTGCTACCAGTCGGCCGGAAGATATCGATTAGCCTGAGCCTCCGGTACTACTTGTGTCTTTCTTCGCTTCTTTTCCTTTTGTGAGTGTTTATCGCATGTTGACACCTTCGACACGACATGTTGTCTCACCGGCGTCGTCGTTACTGGTAGCGTCTTTCCGTCCCGGACATCTTGACATTCGATACTCAAGCTCAGAGAAAACTGGATGTAGCCAAAACGGTTGAGATAGCGTGAAATATTGTTCAGACGTATAATTTATATATCCTGTAATATTCTATTATCTTCAACGACACGATCGTCTGTGCATCGCATCGTAAAAACATTACATCGTTGTCGATTTGATGCATTGTCATGTTCTCCCAGCTCTCCAACACACTTGCAGCAACCAACCGGCGCGCCCTCTCTTTACCCCTTCTCATGGCCAACCAGGGCACGCATCATCCCTGAATATTGAATTATCCGGCGAACTCGACTTTCCAGACTCCATCCCCGACTCCTTGGTTTATCGTAATAAGTATGGGTACATTATTTTTGCGGTAGAAATAGTAGAAATTGACTTTTAGATCATCTTGCTGCGGCTCCTTTCATGGGCATGATCCAGAGATTCTTGTTGGTGTACAGTACTTTTTGGCGGGCAACTTCGCACCATGCTGGTAAGTAGTTGTCCGCCGGTGAATTCTCCAAGAGAAGAATAGATTTGTCGTTCATCGACGCGCTCTTGTGCAACTTCCTGTTGTGCGCCTTGCCTTTTTACTCACAGGTGCTCGTCGTGAAGAATACGAGGACTGGTGGATTTTCAACCAAGGATAAACTGCAAAATCATATTCTGCCAGGACTAACAAGAATCTAGTGTTATCGACATAGATAGCACGAATCGCTGACATGGTATCCGTGCTACAAAGTGCATCAAAATAACACTTCACATCAACTAGCGCTGACGAGAACTTAGGACACCACCAAATATTGTCAGTGATTTAACGTCCTCTAGGACAAATTTATGTGACGATGAAGTACGTCAACGATGCACGTGATCCGCTCAGATCCGGCCAGAGTGGTTCTCTTCACGACGCTGAGACTTGTTCTTTAGTTCTTGTTCCAATGCCTCGACATCAACTCCATCTTTCAAATGAATGTCACGTACACCTACTTCAATGTCGGTGATTTTCTTTTACTTTTACTGATGTAAAACGTACACAAGTCGAATGACATGAGACCTGAGCCCGAGGTCGAAGTTCTATCAACGCTACAGTAATTTATTCAGGACTCTGGTCGAGGCGTCAGGAAAGTTTGCATGAAAGTGAGCACATCTATCAACTCCGCAACTAACTGCATATCGTGCGATCAAGCACTGTGCCAACGCGAAAGAGATAAGACTCACTATTGTGACATGCTCAGTTTGCCAAGCTCATCAATCCCTGCAGTACGTGGAAGGATCACCGGCCTCCTGTTGATATAAGGCGCAAAGGTGAGTCGTGGGGTTGAATTTTGGATGCAAAGCGAACGACTCATACTCACAGTAGGCGCACAGAAAACGTCAGCGCAGCATTTGAGGCCTGTCGGGCTGTTCGTGCCGCAAGCCTGGCCTAAAATCGCACACTGTGCGGTGACAGACATGGATCTTGTCAAAGCTGCAACGACTGCGACGACTCGGAGGAATGAGAAATGCATGGCTCGTGCTAGGCTATATGGGATGAGCAGTGACTCTGATTCTGCTAGTGGCCTTGCTTTTATATCCTAGAAGGAAAAATGGGTTCAGAAGACGGCAAGGCTTGGCACTCGTATCAAAATGGTTGCGCTTTCTAGCGGACTTGAATTGAGGGTGAGAGTATAGGCAGAACCGAAGGTTGGCAGATAAATAATCCAGAGCATGGGGATGAAGAACCACTGACAATATTAATGCAAGTGTCGTCCAGTGAGAACGAGATGTGTGTTGGCGATAGGATACCTACGTGTGCTACCAGTCGGCCGGAAGATATCGATTAGCCTGAGCCTCCGGTACTTGTGTCTTTCTTCACTTCTTTTCCCTTTGTGAGTCTGACTCTTTATCGCATATTGACCGTTTCAGAGTGGATCGTGAGCCTGCGAACGTTGACACGTGCGCGTGAAATACGGCCTTTGTAAACTCACCGCATGAAGATCCTCCAGAACGCGTGCTTCGATCACAGTCGAGCTCACGTTCAAGGTGCCTCCTTCTTAAGACCTTCGTCCGAGAATCTGCGCCTCATTCTCTTTTGTTCCCTGCGCTCATCCCCCACATCGACGACCCCGCAATTACGAAACGCTTCAGTCATTATGGCTTTCATTACTCCCGTCCCCGGCCCCTCGGCCAGTTCTTCTTCTTCCACCGGCAACTCTTCCAATACCAATAACTCTATGGGCTCGCCCAACACGTCAGCTAGCCAGATGACTCATGATCAAATAGTCGCCGAGAATCTTAGATGAGTTGCTAACAATACAGTCCTTCAGCAGCGTAGAGACGCAGGAGAACCAAACGTTCCCGCAGACGAACTCATTATCCCCACTCCTCCACAGCCCACAGGCACGGCACTACAGCAATGGATCGCTGCTTTCGCCCAACTGTCTCCCAATTTGCAAAATCAAGGATCCGCCATTCTCACTCCAAAAACGGTAACCCGTCCTAACATCATGGCAGTCTAGACTCTACCTACAACTTCGGCATTCAGAGTTTCATCCAGGACCTTCTCGTCGCCGGTCAATACTGTCCCCTCACCTTATTCACTAACATCAATACTCAGTTTGCCAAGCTCATCAGGATCCTCGCAGTACGTGCCAGAAGAACTACCGGACTCCTGTTGGTACAAGGCGCAAAGGTGAGTCGTGGGGTTGAATTTTGGATGCAAATCAAACGACTCATACTCACAGTAGGCGCACAGAAAAGGTCGTCGCAGCATATGAGGCCTGTCTGGCTGGTCGTGCCGCAAGCCTGGCCTAAACTCGCACACTGTGCGGTGACAGACATAGATCTTGTCAAAGCTGCGACGACTGCGACGACTTGGAGGAATGAGAAATGCATGGCTCGTGCTAGGCTATATGGGATGGACAGTGGCTCTGATTCTGCTAGTGGCCTTGCTCTTATATCCTATAAGGAAAAATGTTTTTGGAAGACGGTAAGGTTTGGCACTCGTATCAAAATGGTTGCGCTTTCTAGCGGACTTGAATTGAGGGTGAGAGTATAGGCAGAACCGAAGGTTGGCGGATAAATAATCCAGAGTATGGGGATGAAGAACCACTGACAATATTGCAAGTCTCGTCCAGTGAGAACGAGATATGTGTTGGCGATAGGATACCTACGTGTGCTACCAGTCCGGAAGATATCGATTAGTCTGAGCCTCTGGTACTCTCTTCGCTTCTTTTCCTTTTGTGAGTCATCGCATGTTGACACCGACACCACATGTTATCTCCACCGGCGTCGTCACATGTAGTTGTCACTGGTAGCGTCTTTCCGTCTCGGACATCTTGACAATCGATACTGAAGTTCCTGTTGCACCCAGTACATTCAAAGCGAGGTAAATGGTGAGATGAAATGTGTAGATTGTGTATAACATTGTACAGTACAGCATGTAATCACGATATCCGTGACAAATGGGTGAGTACGAGAGCACCATCAAAACGATGCACATAAACATGATGTGACCTGTGAAGCCTTGAAGTATGAACGCCAGTTGGAGAGGAAGAAAGCACCGGGAAGAACAAACGAACAGGGATGAAATTGAGGCAATGCGAAGAGTAGGAGAGGTTCCGGTACGATAGATGACATTGAATTAAGGATCATTGGCATATTGGACGCAAGTGCACCAGGGCGTCGCAACGGGCATCCTCGTCAGGGAGGTTTTCAATAGTCAGTTTCTGGATAACTCAACAAGTACAGTCAAAGGACTGCAATCAAGTTCCAGAAGTCTACATTGAAGTCGCGACAAACGAGTGACGATGTCAATCTTTGCATATACCAACACTGCTAGGAAACGTAGAATGTGACTCACGAAGCTGTTGAGAGTGTTCATTGATACTGTTGAGAGTGTTCATTGATACTGTTGAGAGTGTTCATCGATACTGTTGAGAGTGCTCATCGATACTGTTACTACGCGCGTCTTGGTCACACAAGCCCGGAATCCTCAGTAGTAAATCGTAATTATTGAATGACGCATAAAGTCACGGTATTGTTGACCATTTCCGTGGCCTACTTCACCTCTCCAAAGCAAAAAAGGAGGGCTCAGCGTAGCGGTGTCTTCACTTCCGCTCCAGAGGTGTGAACGCAGTAGAATCATCGTAGTTGAATAGAGGGAATATCATAAGGGTCTTGATGAGTCTACAAAGTTGAGACTCCGCGAATCTGCAGGCAACGAAAGCAGTACACGACGGATCATCAAGTTTCAATCCACCATATACCCTTGAAGTACACCCTCAAAGCATCCTTGGACCTCCTCAGGGCGAATGACAGGACCATTTGCATAATTTCTAGATCTCGTGAAAATTCGCAATGGTGCTCAAGGTCCTTGCAGCGGCAGTCAACGCCGTGCTCCCATCAAAATACTATGTGCACGCGTTGATTTCAATCCTTGTCATTGTGGTGGTTCGCGCGTTCGCACGAGGGCGCACGACGAACCGTGAACGGGATATGCATGCTAGGGTAGTCCTCCTCACAGTACGTATGCTACCCTCCCACGTGCATTCGCATCACTCACTTGATCAGGGAGGGTTCACTCCGTTAGGCCTAACGCTCATGCAGAACCTTGCTCAACGAGGCGCGCACATCATTGCTCTCTCGCCAAAGCCAGTCCAAGATCCTGAAGTAGAAATTCTTATAAACCTCTTGCGATCGACCACCAAGAACGACCAGATATTCGCAGACGAATGCGATCTGACATCTGCTTCTTCTATCCGCTCCTTCTGCTCCCGCTTCCTCACAGCAAAGGAGACTAGACTGGATGGTATCGTATTCGCACACGAGTATCAACAGTTAGGCTCCATCATCAGTCGCCAAGATTCTGCTATACTAACCCAGGAGAGACAAAACGCTTCAGTAGCATCGTTCTTAATTCTCACTCTTCTTCTGCCCGTCCTCCTTGTTGCACCCGCAGAACGCGACATACGCATCATCAACGTTGTGAACCCCTTCTACGCAGCCGCCGCACCCTCTTTCTCCCCAACCTCCAAGCCACCCCCATCATCTCCAGTCTTTCACCAAGAAGGCTGGCGTTCCCTTCAAATGATTGTTTTCACCCGCCACCTCCAGCGTGTCCTCGACGCACTGCCATCTGGCGGGCAAGTCCCAAAGACAGACGACTCCACCATCCACGTCGTCAGCGACAAGGTACAAAAGTCCAACATCGTCGCCGTATCCGTGTGTCCCGGACTCTCTAGATCAGATACCATCGCACCGCTGTTAAGTGCAGTTCGTGGACAGAATCAATCTATATTCGGCATTGTTCTGTCAGATTCTTCATCTGATTTGAATATTTAAACACTAACGATTCTTTAGGTACATGCTTCTTCAACCGTTCCTCCGCCTTCTCACGAAATCCACGACATCTGCTATACAATCCGTGCTGCATGTCCTTTTTCTCCCGACGCCTTTCAAGAGCAATGCCCGTCAAGGCACAGATGCTCCAGAAGAAGTGCTCAAGGCAGGCGCACTCTACCGCGAGTGTGCAGTTGTTAACCTGCGGATACGAAGCCCTGCAACGGCTGACGCTGCCGATGCGCAGGTGCCGGACGATGGAGAATTGGGAGGTGTACACCTTGGTCAGGCGGTATGGGAGGGCCTCGAGGGTGCGTTAAAGGAGTGGGAGAAAGTGAACCCGCAAGGCGATGAGAAGGCTGGGTGTGATGACGGGCCATCCGTTGATACCCAAGGCAGTTAGAGCCGGGTGAGTTTGGTCGATTTGTTTATGACGACGTTGATGATGGATACATGTAGCATACGGACTTGTGTATATCGGATTAGAGGAAATGTCATCTTGCTTGGATACCATTGCTCCATATTTATGGGATTCAGGACTATTAACCACTGCTGCGGTATCACCCTCCGCTATGGCTCATACTATCGAATGTATATGACATGATACCTCGTGAGTTATATATACTCCTCGCGTTTCGTTGAGTAAGAAGTTGCTAGCCAGTACTCAGGTTATTATATTTGGGTGAATGGGAAAGTCAAGCCATGCTTGGCCTGAGACCCAGCGCAACTTGAGTACCTTGCTGTTCTGACTCAGCAAGCGTGCATGGTGGACTGGTCTTGTAGGATGATTTTGTTGTGAGCTACATGCACGGCATGAAGCGATGCTCCGAGTCGTCTGGAGCAAGGACTGACTATAAAGCGATGGGAGCCTTGCCTACTGAGAACGTCTTATGGCGTGTTGCTATCCGCAGAGCTTTGCGGCGTTTTTTTTTTACTTGTGGCCTTGATGTACATGTTGAATAAATGGATTCAAGCTTAACCTTATCCCCCTTCTTAGTCTAACGCACGCGTTCTTCAATGTTAAATGTAACAAGATTTGGCTAATCTTAGGGGAACCTCGACAACTACATCTATATAACCCAGTAATTGTTACAAGTAACATCGGCTACTTGGCCCCCTATCATTTTTCCCTTCATCCTCGTCTTCGCCTACCTCTGGCTCGTACTCCTTTACCGACTATCTGTTGACCGGATCCTCGGGACCGCTCCCGTCCCTCGTTTTCCTCCTATCGCACCAACGTGCGCATGTGCCTTTGGGCTATGACTCGTCCTGACTCGTGCCACCAATGTGGCTTTCCTTACCTGCTCTTATCTCTTATCTGACTCATGCGTGCTGCACATTGTATCTCTTACCATTGGTTTGTTCCAACATTTCTTGGTCTCATTCCACATTCGACCTCCCATCACTAATCAGGCTCTGCTGCCACTGTACCTATACCCTTTCTGTTTCCCCTTTGCCCTTACCTACAGTACGGTAGCCTTGCCCTTAACCCTTTCCACTTAGTATAAGTAGTTGGTCACCTTGTACTAGATTCCCTAACTTGAATCTACTCAATCTTCCCTTGAAAATACTTTCCTCTGAAGCCCCCTCAGCTTCAGTCTCTAGTATCTTTTCTTAGGTGCTCATCGCGCCTAAGTCCACCTCAATTGACTACTCATCGTTTGGACAAGACAGTCCTTACTTTGAGAATGTCAGTGACTTGAAGACATCCGTCTTATAAGTCACGTGACATGCACATCTCTGATATCTGCCGACTCGATGTCGCCAGTCTCAGTCACTACACCAGACCCTTCCGGTTATGTCACGAACATTAGCGGACGACGCCCCTCTTAGGGCTCTGCCTAACAGATCTATTTGAGTGCGTAACAGTAATACTCAGAGTATGTTTTCCAGAGCACGTTGGGATGTAGGCCAAATGAAAGAGTTGAGAGCAGAATGAGGTCAACAGCAGCTGATCCAATATCCAACGAGCTTCCTCACCGGGTGGGATGATGGTATATCCCATGAACTTCTTGAGCTATGAAGGGAAGTGAGTTGATCTCCACCCCATTAGAAGGAATCTCACACATGAACTGGGCAATCAAATGTATATGTCAAATTCTCTTCCTTAAATGACGAGTCAGTGCGAAGACAGCCCCTCAGCAAATCTCTCAGTCGTGCTCATTCAGTGCCCGATCACCCCTATTGATCACAGCTTGTACCATCATGGTTGCGGTTCAAGTCATGGATTCAGATAGGACTCACTGGTCATATCTGAAACTCTGAAGGTTCCAACAGTAAAGCTGATGTTTGCAGAGCGCTTTCTAGTACAGGGAGATCTACCCAGTATGAGCAGTATTGGACAACCCAACAATGACCCAAGTTCTCAACAAGTCAGTTGTTTTGATGAAAAATGATATCGGTACAGTAGAACAATAGTAATGGATAAGCAATGAGCTTACTCTTGTATGCGCGCTATGAAGAAACCTGATTTCTGTTGATGTCAATTAACTTCATAAAGGAATATTATATGTTCAGAGTACTAGTATTAAAGTTAAATTGTGACTTAGTAAGAACAATGATAGAGTATGCTCGACAATGTACATGCATTAATATTGCGATGTGTTATATACTATCATCCCATCAGTGAATGCACGAGTCCTTGGAATTGTAGCCGTTGCAACTGTAGGATGATGTAATTCTGCTGTCACCAAATATGACTATGTATGCCACAATAAATTTGACTTAATCATACTTAGCCATGGATGATCACTAGTGATGTCTCAGCTCCAAGCTGCATTTTTCAGAAAATGAGCATAACATGCTGAATAAAATTCCTAAATTCATGAAAATATTTATGGAAATAGATTGAGCCAAAAGCCGGGAGGCATTTAAGGGGAATTCGTACTATAATGCATCATTGTCTTGCTATGAAGCAGCTCAGCAAATGGCTTGGATTTTGAGTCATTTTCTGAGCTGCTTCATAGCAAGACAATGATGCATTATAGTATGAATTCCCCTTAAATGCCTCCCGGCTTTTGGCTCAATCTATTTCCATAAATAGTTTCATGAATTTAGGAATTTTATTCAGCATGTTATGCTCATTTTCTGAAAAATGCAGCTTGGAGCTGAGACATCACTAACATTGATCACCATTATAAACTTACTGTCTGAGTCCACAACAAAGTCATGACAATCTGCCTTCGCAGATAGCAATGGACGTAAGCGTAATGATGTCTGTGTTTTTGAGTATTCTAACTTGCAACCATTTATGTCTCATATTAAGAGATTATTTAAGACTTTCCATAGGACAAAGACTTCAACCTTTCACAGCAGATAGAGATTGGTTTGATGATTCATAACAAAATCGTTACAGGCTTTCTTCGCAGCCAGTAAGGGACGGAAGCTCACTAGCATTGACGTCGCTGATTATTAAGAGTGTCCATCAAATATTGGCTCGATTTTAAGGTTATCCAAGACTTTCCCACAAGACAACAGCCTTTGCCGGAACCCTTGACAAGTGCCAGATGAGAGCTGCCTGTGCTTCAATGTTATCATTGGTGTCCATAAAGACGGTGAGAGTTGGCAGCAGGCTATGGAGGATGGTTGGGTATGTTCATGTCGACTTTTCAGGCTCGCAGGCAACTCACGTAACATCGATATATCACGATTCATTAGATTCCCGGAGAAACACTTTTCCCCATTGAAGAAGCCATCAACCGCAGCACAATCATCGTGAACACCCACAAGGCTCTCAAATTTAATGGTTGCTCGACATTGCCAAAGAGCTGAAGGAGATCAACGACCAGGAAATTTGGTGGGCAGGCAAGGTTGTGCGGTCGCTGCGTCCCAATTACAAGCCTGAAATGTTCAGGAGTTTCAAAGTGTTTGATATTCGAGGTAATATCGAAGGAACACTGTATAAGTCACAGTACCGTATATCAGTGGTTTTCGAGTGCATATACAAAATGAAAATGTGTCAATACCAAACAATAGTAGTACACAAGCGATGAGAGATAGATATACAAGGATGAATTAAACAACTGTCGATCATGTGTTATGTTCAGTGGCGCATAGAGGAGATGCACAACAAATGAAAAGGATTACATGGACCCACAATGGGATGGATTTCGACTGCTTGTCAGGGGGTTGTGCACATGAGGTGCTTGTATTGGTGACAGGAGCAGGAGGTGTTGCAGATGTGGAGGTGATTGCATGTGGTTGCATCTGGGATGGGGATGTTTGGCACTGGCTGTGGATTGGCCTTTTCTGCTGATACTTTAACTTGTGTTCTGGCTGCTGAGCAACGAATAACAGCTGCTGAGCAATCAGTGAATCTCTGAAAGATGCACCTGAAAAAATTCTTACTTGCTTGTCCTGCATCCCAACAACGCTCTGTAATGTGTGCACTGGCACCGTGTAAGACAATGAATGATCCAATCGCCTTGGGTCTTCAGATTGCCTGCATTGTCGGGTGTAAAGTCTTGTGTCAAATAGGAAATTGTCTCCCAGCCAAACGAAGGATGCCTAGAATGTTGTGATGCATCGGGCACACGTGACATACTCCGGTTCATCAGATGCCCGGGGAATGTGGTGCAAGGTTGAATTCGGAACTCTTGAAGAGCACGTCAGATCCTCGTGACCGACCTCGATGTCTTCGCAACCACTGGGAGGTACCATCCAAGCATTAAAGAGGCATTCCACTGTATGGGTGAATTTGGCTGAGTGATATCTTCCCCATCTTCATCAAAGTAGTTGAGGTAGACATCCATATCCTTGAAGGGTGCTAGCGGTGGCTTCTTGATAAGTGCATCCTTCACGACCTACAAAGTACTTACCAGCAGGTTCATCCCAGCTTGACACCTCTATGCCAGTGCACTGCGATGATGGCACAGAAACGTTGCCCTGGCTCTCTTGTTCCAGAATAATTCCAGGATCGGAGCACAAGATGTGCACAAGAGACATTACATTCGGCCAATGCAACAGTATGGGCTGTATGATTACATGCACTACAGCTTTCGCCATGACCTTCTCATTGGCCTCGTACTCTCTCACAATCTCTGCCAGTTCATCAAAGCTTGAGGAGGAAGTAGGATGTGCTGGCGAAAGCATAGTACGAAACGATCTCAAAGCTAAAAGAGTGGAAGGGTTTAAGGAGTGCATGATATAGATAGTGCTGATCGTTAAAGAGAAGAATACTAGAGCCAAATCCCAGTACAAACCGATAGACTTTAACATAACTTGTTAATGTCAGCCCAATGTCACGAAGGTTGCTCGTGCCTGGGTTTTGTGAGTGAATGGCCAGAGAAGTGGTCATTATATTGGCTAGGACCATGAACAGTGGAATTACGAAGTTCTTCCGTTTGCACTTGCTGCTGAGGAAAAGGATGATGGAGTAGGGTTTGATGGCCAGTTGGCCCACAACTTGGACCATTATGCGATGAACCAGAGTAGTCATGAGGATGAGGTGGACAGATGTCCATATGTGTGAGAGGTGTATGTATTAAGGTCATACTCTCGTAGGATTGGATCTGAAGGACTTCGGCCTCAGCTCATACACTGTGCCCCTTTCCCAAGTACTTGTCCTTTATTTCAAAGTACTAACGATAACGCATCCGAAGGTCTGGACAGGTCTCGTAGATATATCCAGATGACTTCCGGATATTGGAAACATGTATAAGACTAATCCGGACAGATCCGGACTAGAAACGAACAGAGTATAGACTATCCAAAGATAGAGTCGGAAACGTAGACTATCTGAATCGATCCGAAGTCTTTGGAGGTTTGACAAGAGTTGAAGACTCAAGTCTGGAGGACAGAAAGAGGACAAACTAAGATGATATTTGAACTGAGGTACTACAGGACATATACACAGGTTTATATACTAAGAGGATAACGAAACAATAAGTAAGCAAAGGTCTGAAGGCTATGTACGAAGCATGTGCAAAGGTTATCAAACACGAGTCGGAAATGAAGCATAGGTTAACAGATCAGTAATCATACCAGTAATAAGTATAGCCAAAACACTGGGAAGAGGAAATACCGAATAGGCTGTGTTTAATATTAAATGAACAGGAAATGAAATAGGAAGCTTATCAGATATCGGATCAGAAGCGGATCTATGCATCGGACTGGACCGGATCTCAGGGTCCGAAGTCCAGAAGAGAAGCGTGAATATATGGGGAGTTATAAGTACCCTGTTATCACTCAGACATTACTCGGCTGCATCAAACCCTGAGGAAACAAGGTATGGACATCCTCACATAATTCACAAGGAAAGGACCCCAGACTCTTACTGTGATGTTCGCTTCAGCTTATTTGTGACAGCATCACCCAGCTGTATATAACCTCCTTCACCCGTCGACATGCTTCCCTCTCCAGAACTTTTCCCTTCCCTTCTGCCGCTCATGTCCCTCCAAGCTCCTTTTTCTCTCTCGCTCTTGAAACCTTGCAAGTTTACTCGTTATTTGTGAAGTATGTTTAAGTTCTGTGACAGAACTCAAACAAACTTCATACTTATAGACTACTTGAATATGTACATGGTCCTGTAATTTTGTAGCTGTCTGTGCCAATAGACTATCTCTCTTTGCATCCTTCAATGATGTGCAACCTCAGTGCAGTTGGAATAAATACACGTCTGCAACCATCACACTTCTCCAAAAGACAATTAGCATCAAACTCGTGAATACCCCCACCAGCTGCAAGCTTAAACAAGTGATCCTGCTCGTTTGGAGACAGGATGGGGCCTTCCTGGACCATGGGTAAGTCAGGAACATCTTCAGGAGGGACTATGAGAGCATCAGGCTCAATATGTTGCATTGGGTGTTGCACTGGGTGATGTGCATGGCCGAGCAACTGATCTCTCGCAGTGGGAAAGACAGCTGTAGATGAATTCACATGAGTTAATGAAAGACAAATGAAAATGAAAAAAAACACACCAGAATGACAATGCCTGTTATTATTAGTGCGAGCAGGAATGGCAGAGACTGTACGAGTCTATGTTTGTGCAGGATGAATGGACTGATGGGCACCGAGATAGCCCATAAAGTATGGCGCGATTTCCGAATGATGGAGAGGTGAATTCAGCTGTCGAAGTTCAAACCTAGTTATGAGAGTGGCAGTGTTGGTGGCAGCTTGAAACACAGGCCAATCCTCATAGGTTGAAATATGGTGTGCAGTGTGACATGTCTCGTTGAGATTGACTGTGAACTGAGTAAGGTAGAGATAGAGGTTGTCAAAAAGTTCAAAGACTTACTTGAAAAACCGCACTTGTTATTGTGGAAATAACACACAGCTTTCGTAAATCCATTCATTGTCACTACAAAATGAACAGGAGTTGCGCACGCCTCCACGGCACTGCAGAAGCACTCCCAAGAAGTGTGCTTATGTCGCAAAAATTGGGCAATGCCTGCGGGTGTTACATGAGTTCTAGTTGTGCGGGAGACTGGACTGAAATGAACGAAATGTTAGCATGATATCTGGATAGGATAAATCAGACACACTAAGCTACATATTTCGATGCACTGTTTCACATCACGCGAGTAGATGACGAGCTCTGTGCTGCTTCGTTGGTAGCGACGGCAAAGCAGAAACATGGAATCAGAAGCTGGCATGGTAGATGGTTGAAAAATGAGATGACAAGCAGAAGTAAAACTCATGCACCTTTTATAATGTGCCCCAGCTGAAGCCGCTGGTCTCTTGGTCCACATCCACATCGAGGTTGCCGTCCTGCTTTATTGCTTGTATATTGAAGTGAGAAGAGGCGGAAAATATAATTAAATGGTACTTTACCTTTTTCTCTCATCTGACACTCTTCGCTTCCAATGGACATTTGTCAAGCGAGGACATTGTCCAATTGAATGGCCATGGAATTTGATGGATGAACCTAGAACAAGTTTTAGGCTGTTGCAGTAGTTTGGGGGAAACCTTGTTTGAAAATGGCCCCAGCTGATCAGTCTGTTTAAACTCATCAAAACGAATTTTCTGACGGCTTGAGGGTGTGTTCATAGAGTTGCCAAGTGAAAACGAGCCTGCTAAGCACTCTGTGAGTGGTGGAGAGAATCGGAAAGTCGAATTGTGTGACAAACAGTGTACACATCAAGACCTAAAAAAGAAGTTCCCCCTGAACAGTGAAGACACATAGAGTACGAGAGTGATATATACCTTCAACCATGCCACCAGATGTGCCCCAATGGATCTCTCAGAACATCAATGTCTTGCTGTCCAATGTGCCCAATCCATCCTTAGCGATGCTGGATTGTCAGTGTCTGATCTCGATTACTCACCAACTACTAGCACCCGATCCTTGACCCCTACAACTTCGAACACATCTCCTGCTGCATCGTCCATCGCCCCGTTACCCAGCACTGAGCCCTCCCCAATCGTTCAAGCTTCCAACTACATTCCACCACCTGCGCGTCAGTTCACTGCAGACGAAATCTCATGAAATGCTCACCATGTCAACTGGCAGACGACTGTCGATGCCATAGTCGAACATCCTCTCAGGGCAATCATGGAGTATCCTGAAACTGGATCAGTCATGGGACAAGCAATCGTGCACATTTTCTCGATATCTGTGAACTACATTACTCACAAGTTTGACAATCCTAAAGCTTCATTCCAGTACTCGTTTGGTGATGGACATGGAGGCCAGAAGAACGTTCTCTGCCATTTGCTTCGAGATAGCACTGATGGCAAACCAGTTAAGTGCAACAGGATTTCGATGTCTTGTAAGTTTGGTCAATCTATGCGTGAATCATGTCAGTGATGCTCAGTGATGTGCTTAGGTAAGGGCCTGAAGGCATGTTCCTCCAACACTGACACATTCATCAATGCCACCCATTCATACACCCACCGGGCACACATCAGCGAACTTATCACTCCTACCAGAGCATTTTCTCCTGCTGATGATTCAGCAGAACGTGAAGTTTTCACCAAGACATTTGCATTTTTCTGTGCACTTAAGGTACATGACTGTAGTTTCCATACCAGCACTGAGTTCACAGATTTCAACTTCGAGAATGACTCAAACATCGACCCTAATGACTATGAATGTGCTCTTGTGACTCCCACCGCCATATCCTCGCGCTCTCCAATGTCTTGTTTGGGCAACCTTATCATGCACACTGATAAATACAATCAACGATTCATCCAGTGAGTATATTGTCGCCATCATTCTAATATTTGCTAATCCAATCACCGTGGCTGTAGATGTGAACATCGTTCACACGCTGACCAGGCACATCTCATCCTTTGGAACCTTCAAGAATTCAATATCAATTATCTTCAAGCATTGCTCGCCCACGACATCACAGCAATTGTTATTCACGAAGAATGTGCGGAACATTGTGGTTACGGACCCCTGGTGCCTTGCGATTTTGTTGCTTCACCAGTCGAGCACAAGCAAACATGTGGTGGGTCATTTTTTTCAAACTCCCTGTCTCTCAGCTGATGTCGTGTTTGTGCAGCTCATTGGCACAGGAACTCAGCTGGCATGTTGGAACGTGGTCGTCTCCTTAAATGGGAGCACGACTGCCAGTCAAAATTCAATATCTTTGTCCCTGTCAACCTCGTCACTGTACCCTGCATCGCTATTGTGTGTCGCAACCCACACTCTCACCCGCCACCCGCTCCAATCAAAACACCACCTCCGCTCATTGATTTGTTCAGGTCGTTGCTAATGGATATGGATTGGGAGCTTGCTGATGCAACTCCTAGACATATTCTATGCGACTCTGGATTCATGCAGGGGCTATGTATGGCTTTGGGTTGGACACTGGACCACAGTCCAACTCTTGCCGACCTTCACCCATCTCTAGCGAATCTCGATCATGTGCACCGTCTCATGTATAAATTCTGTCGTGACAAGTATCCAATGGGGACCGGCTTTCAAGGTGCAAAACTGCTCGTCGACAAGGAGAATGAGCTGCCATGTCATGCGCGCTATGTTTGGTGCGCAGAAACACACACTCTCCCTGGTGGTGTTGATTTCCATCTCATTGTTTGTATGAGTCCCTTGATGTCGCGCCATCTACTGCTCGCACGCCGTGTGTCGATTGACACATCATTCAAGCGCTTGCATGGCTGGCAAGAATTTGAGATTGAAGCATGAGACAACAACCACATGCGATGTAAGTTTATGTTCACATCATTTGAATTCATCAATACTGATACTAAGTATAGCTCTTATGGGTGCATGAGCCTTCATAAATTCACAATCTGCACAGGCACACTTGGTTCTTTTCCACAGAATCTTTTCAATCACCAGCGAGGACACAGGAACACCGGTATCTTTCAAACACATCCATGGTAGTGGCTATGAGTCAGTAGTGGCAGATGCTCATATGGGTCAGGGTCTCAGTACATATTTTTTCCTTTCCTCGGCTTACAAGCAAGGCTGACGTGTTTTATGGTAGGACTTGGAATGTTTTGCTCAGAGCTTAGCAAAAACATCAAGACTCCATGCATTTACGAACCGCATCGCAAGTTATGCGATCTGACTCCCTACGATCACCTTCGCCGGTTCTACCGTTTGTGCATCATCCATTTCAAGAGGAACTTGTGGCCGCTTCAATCACAAGTGTCAAAGGAGGTATATAATGCCATGCTGAGTCTATCTTCATCGGATGCACATCCCAATTTTCAGAGGACGATCAGTGTCATCAGAGGTGGCAGCTGAAAAGCTGAAGCATGGCTTAAGGACAAACTTCAGACTAACAAGTTCGCTGTAGAGACTGATATCTCTGTGGCCTTGCAGAGGCTATATATGCAACCTGTCTCAGAGTACAGTTTGATGCACAACTTGTGCCAATACCTTTCCAATCATTCCCTATGCGAAGCGAAACTCTCCCACGCCAAGCGCCAAGCGCGCGCTACCTTCCCGCGCATCGGCTGCCCCAAGCGCAGCATTCTTGCGCGCGCATTAGGCGCGCTTTCCCGCGCTCGAAGCGCCCTATGTCGCACATCCATCCATTGTCCAAACTAACCTCACTGGTATGTGTTCCTATCATTTTCTCCATATCAGACCATATTCTATTTAATGATTGCTCAATTCTCATGTCATGGACCCTTATTACATACCTTACCTACTCGCTTCGGCTCCGCTTCAGGGGCGCATTTTTAGACATATATAAGCGCCTGTTCATATTTTACATCATCGAATCATATAGAAGCTCCCTGCACCTCACTATCAGTGTAAAGCTCATCCGTCACATGCCATAGTCAGTATCTATTGGCAATAAGAACATCCTTAACGTCTATTACGAACCTCTGCTTGTAAACCCACCTTGCGCTTTTCCCATGCTTCGCGCCGCTCAAGCGCTACCTTCCCGCGCATCGGCCACCCTAAGTGCTTCGTTCTCGCGCTCGCGCCTCACGCGCTTTCCCACGCTCTATGTCGGCCGACGAACGGCACCCTTTGCACCAACCCCTAGATCTCTGCTGTACTTGCTTCCCCTTTAGGGTCGAACACACTTGTCACCACAAGCATAGCAGCTTAGGCAAGCAGACCCAACACATAGTTCAGAATACCACCATCTGGATAGTTGTTTCTACATTGCATTGCCTGCACTATACCGTCCTGCGAGCTTCATACCTGAAGATATTTGGCATGCATGCCCAACCACCACAAACGGCAACAAGCAGGCCCACCGCAACATCAACCGTGATGGGGTGCACTTAACGCTTCTCGGCGGTATCATGAGAGGCTGAGCCTTTGACGACCGAGCGGCACAGAGCACCGACGTTCATGCATCGTTGGGCATTGGCACTTGTGATCGTGATGCGACTCATGCCTACCGAGCCTCAAGAAGCATCACTCGTCAAGGTAATCTTCGTCTATGTCATTTACCCATTGTTTTGACAGCATCTTATCCCTTTCACAGTGCCATCATGTCACTCAACATCCACATGATGACGCTACACATGTGCTGTCACAGCAACCAGCACCCAGAATAATCCTACCCTTCATGCCAGTACCATCCTACTCACTTTTTGATGCTCTTCGACCAGATGTCAAAGGTGTTCTGGAGCTGTATCCATGGAGGCAACGTTCTGCATGCAATAATTGTCCCCAATGATGATCAGCCTATTCTAACAGCTATGTTAGTGACCTTGAGTATGCCCTCACACCTGGAGCTGGTATCATTGATTATTTCCCTCCCCCGTCTCGATGATGGCGCTAACCTATACACTTTTATACACTATTTACCAGGACTATCTATACACTTTCATATGCTATTTACCAGGACTATCTATACCCAGTCATGATATCCCTGACACTTCGATACTCTTTGCTTCGAAATAACCAAAGTAAACTCCATTAATGCTGTCAAGTCTTTCTAGATAATCCACTCAACTCTTCGCTTCAAATTAACCAAATTAAACTCCATTAATGCTGTCATAAGTCTTTCTAGATAATCCGCTCATCTCTCTGCCTCGAAATAACCAAAGTAAACTCCATTAATACTGTCGTCAAGTCTTTCTAGATAATCCGCTCAACTCTTCACTTCAAAATAACCAAAGTAAACTCCATTAATGCTGTCGTCAAGTCTTTCTAGATAATCTGCTCATCTCTTTGCTTCAAAATAACTCCATTACAAGTCTTTCTAGATAATCTGCTCAAGCTCGTTCATACCGACTCCATTCTTCCATCCCTCCCTAGTATCTCACTCCACGGGCGTAATACTCAGCTCCCTTCTCCCATACAGCCCAGATTTGATGTCAACAAGGTGTCTCTGCACAAGCCTAGCAGAGTAGCGACTTTTTAAATGGCACTACCTCCATTTCCCTCACCGCTTCTTTGTTACATTTAATTTTCTCAACTACTAGTCTGCTACTAATCTTAGTGTACACCTACCAACCCTCCAGGTCAACCAGGAAACTTCTCGCAGCTACTACCAGGGCAGCAAAGGCCCAGTGGCCCTCCAAGACCAAATGGTGCTGCGCCTCCATTCCAATCCCCAATGATGTCTCACTCTCCCCATATTACAGGAGGCAACCCTGGCTCTGGACCACCATAAAACCCATACCCGCTGTGCAGGTCTCACTATAGATGATTCCAGGGGAGCGCTGACATAGAATAGAACAACCAATTTATGTATTATTGTACTAGATACAAAATACTAGAAATGAACTCTTGATATCAACAGGCATTGCTATGTTGCACACTTGGTCACCAGATAACCTACAAAAGGCTTGTCTAGATGTGCGCAACCTTCCAGGTTGGCTCACCTACAAAAGGCTGGCCAACTTGGGAGTCAGGGACAGCACCGTTATGAGGATAATGGAGGGATGTGGGCAGAAGGGAAGCAGATGAGTGAAGGAATGCGTTGAGGGTTATATACAGCTAGGTGATGCCATCACAAATAAACTGAACCAAACATCATAGGTCGGTCTGGGGTCCTTTCCTTGTGAATTATGTGAGGGATGTCCGTACCTTGTTTCCTCAGGGTTTGATGGAGCCGAGTAACGTCCGAGTGATAACAGGGTACCAGAAACCCATATATGGGATATGACAGTATCCCCCCCTTAGGGCCGATCCCTAGAGGCACAAGAAGCATCGGTCTGGACCGGACAAAATTAATGCGAGATGATGGAGAAGTCAATGGGGGAAGTATCTGAGTTCGGATTTGGACAGGTATTACACAAGGCAGGGCATCCAGGATTGATTCTTCCTTTCCCACTTTTTACTCTCTATAACACTCTATCGGATATGTCTGGCAACACCTCCGGATCTAAGAAATCTGCTAAGCAGAAACTCCTGGAGCTTCAACAGCAACTGGCGGACACAGAAGCTGCAGCTTGGATGGAGGAGGAGGAGATTCGGAAACATCAGGAGGAGGAACAGAAATGTGAGGAGGAGCAGAAATGTCAGGAGGATCTGAGAAGGATTCAGCAGGCCAAAATTCGGATGGAGGCAGAGCAGAAGAGGCACAGGGAAATAGTAGAGGAAATGGTGAGTTTCGGATGGTTATGATGGATTTTCCTGACGGATGAAAAGTCTCGTGCTATTTCCGCTGAAAAGGACGGATCCTGCACATGTTGTACTGCCAAGGGCCGGACTTGTCTTTGGACAGATGTGGAGAGCAATGTTCTGGTGAGTTAATCCGCGTTTTTTTCTTTCGGATCCGAGTATTTTGATGTCCGGATAGATCAAGTCTTGCGATATCTGCCGGAAGGACAAGGTTACATGCCCTGGACGACCCAGAACTGTTAAGTTGTCCAAGAGCAAGAAGAGGAAACATGCTGCCGGATCTCCATCTCCGAAAAGTAAAGGCAAGAAACACCAGAAGAGTCTGACTCCTGAAGATCCAGAAGAGATGGAGACGGAATACGATGACCAGGCTTGGGTGCCCGCACCCAACAGTATAGTGGTGGAGCTGGCTAGGACTAACACCCTTTTGGAGAGAAGTATTCAGGTGGCGGAAGGCAGCAGGGCTGCAGCGGACCGGATGAGTTCCGGAATTGAGTTGTTCCTTCAGCAACAGAGGGAATTTCAAGCCATGTTGTTCGGACGTCTCCGGATCCGGAGGAGGAGGATGAGGTGATGGATAAGGCGTCCGGAAGTGATGCAGGCAGATCCGGAGGGGCGGATGGGTCTATGGAGATGTAGGAAATTCTGGTCCATTTCTGTTTCTTCTCTAAATGTACTTATATCTCGTATACACATCATGTACTTCAAAGTTGAATAGGACCGGGTTTTTTTGGATATGAGGAGTGGAAGTCCGATACTAATTCAGATGTGTTTCCAAGTTCCGTTGCAAGTAACCATGAAGTTTCCTCGTCCGTTCCTTCATATCCGGACCATCGGACAAGGTATAGGAGTTGGCATTGTCTTCTCCCACGGTCCAACTTGGAGTCTAGGATTTCGGATATCTCATATTCGGGTTCTCTGTCGACTTCAACCAGAGGTGGAGGTGATTGGATACAATTAGGAATAGTGTTGAGGGATGCTGGTTCTAATTGCGAGACATGGAAAACCAGATGTACGGAACACATGGAATCTGGAAGTTGGATGGTGAAGGAATGCATACCCGGACGAGCTATGATTTCAAACAGACCTAAGTTCTTTTCCAAGAGTTTCTTGGACGGACGAGTGGATTGGAAGTATTT